GTTCATCGTTCTTCTCGGATTCTTCAACAACAACTGGAACAACGTGTTCTGGCAGCTTCTCGTAGCTGAATTCAGTTGGATAGGAGCTGACTTCGGTTGTGAGAGGAATGTCGTGGATGTTGGAAGCACGATGAGTTGAATCGAGTGGTCCTTCGTATTGATCGGATACTGGATAGTCAAGATGAGATGGTGACTTCTTGAACAATCCAGTGATCTTGGACTTCAACGATGGCTCATCCTTCTTCTCGGATTCTTCAACAACAACTGGAATAACGTGTTCTGGCAGCTTCTCGTAGCTGTATTCAGTTGGATAGGAGCTGACTTCGGTTGTGAGAGGAATGTCGTGGATGTTGGAAGCACGATGAGTTGAATCGAGTGGTCCTTCGTATTGATCGGATACTGGATAGTCAAGATGAGATGGTGACTTCTTGAACAATCCAGTGATCTTGGACTTCAATGACTGTTCATCCTTCTTCTCGGATTCTTCAACAACAACTGGAACAACGTGTTCTGGCAGCTTCTCGTAGCTGAATTCAGTTGGATAGGAGCTGACTTCGGTTGTGAGAGGAATGTCGTGGATGTTGGAAGCACGATGAGTTGAATCGAGTGGTCCTTCGTATTGATCGGATACTGGATAGTCAAGTGAGATGGTGACTTCTTGAACAATCCAGTGATCTTGGACTTCAACGATGGCTCATCCTTCTTCTCGGATTCTTCAACAACAACTGGAATAACGTGTTCTGGCAGCTTCTCGTAGCTGAATTCAGTTGGATAGGAGCTGACTTCGGTTGTGAGAGGAATGTCGTGGATGTTGGAAGCACGATGAGTTGAATCGAGTGGTCCTTCGTATTGATCGGATACTGGATAGTCAAGATGAGATGGTGACTTCTTGAACAATCCAGTGATCTTGGACTTCAATGACTGTTCATCCTTCTTCTCGGATTCTTCAACAACAACTGGAATAACGTGTTCTGGCAGCTTCTCGTAGCTGAATTCAGTTGGATAGGAGCTGACTTCGGTTGTGAGAGGAATGTCGTGGATGTTGGAAGCACGATGAGTTGAATCGAGTGGTCCTTCGTATTGTTCCGAGATTGGATAGTCAAGATGAGATGGTGACTTCTTGAACAATCCAGTGATCTTGGACTTCAACGATGGCTCATCCTTCTTCTCGGATTCTTCAACAACAACTGGAATAACGTGTTCTGGCAGCTTCTCGTAGCTGTATTCAGTTGGATAGGAGCTGACTTCGGTTGTGAGAGGAATGTCGTGGATGTTGGAAGCACGATGAGTTGAATCGAGTGGTCCTTCGTATTGTTCCGAGATTGGATAGTCAAGATGAGATGGTTTAGTTTTTGTTGTTTCTCTTCTCTTCTTTTCTTTATCTCCTTTTTTGTCTTTAGATTTGGATTTCGGGGAAGATGGTCCTGGTATTTGATCGTAAAAAAATTGATTATGGTACAGGTCGACGTGTTGAGTGAGTGGTATTTCTGCGATGTTCGTGTTTCTAGAAGTAGTAGTTATTGATGCCAGATCGTAGTCCTGGTGAATTGGATAGGTCATCTGTAAGTAAGAAAATTTGCAATAAGAAAAGGTTTGATACGGGACTTACGTCCAGTTTCTCAAAATCATCTGATTCAGGAGTCAATGATTGTCTTTCATCGTCGGCTGTGTACTGTGATTCTGTTATCTCGGAAACAATGCTAGTCGGTGCTACTGGTGGCTGATCATAGCTATATTTAATGCTTTGTTTTGGGGGAATCTCGAGTTCAATATTGAGTTTCGCCTTTGTGATTGGAGACACTGGAACCTGGCTTTCGCTTTTAGATAGAATAACATAGCTTGGAGAAGTTGCTCTTTCAGTGAGATCGACGTCAACTGTCAGGGTATTGTCGTCGACGAGCTCATAATCATCAGACAGCGAATCACTGTCGCTAACCTAAAAGTTATGGTAAAAGTTTTTTCTTCCTTTTTTTATCATTCACTCACCTCCAATATTTTATAGGTCGTCGTGGTCGTTGTTATAATTGTTGTCGTTTGTTTCGTATCGCGATTAAACAAAATACCATTGAATAAAGGGACTCCAGAAGCAGTCAGGGCTCCGATCAGGGGTACACCTTGAGCCTGAAAATGAGACCAGTTTCAGAATGATTGTCGATGATTGAGTTTAGATCAAACTTTCCGGACCCTGTTACTTGCATAAAACGAGAAAGTTTTCTGTATTTATCCGTTAAAAGTCTTTAAACGATTTCAAATCACTTTGTCAAACTGAAAAAGATTGTTTAGGGGTCCCAAGAAGTTTGAAAGGGCCCTGAAAGAAGACAGGAAACCAAAAGAAAAAAGAATAGGGGATCCACTACCAGGTGAAGGTGATGTACAAGAAGGCCACCCTATACTTGCGCTTCTAGCTGAATTATTTCAATTTCTGAATTATTTCAATTTCTAGAGATAAAATTTCTGTAAACTGTTAAAATTTTTGTCATAATATCATCAATAGTCATACTTGCGAAAATCGTTGAGGGCCCGGCCCGGCCCGGAAGGCCCGGACAGGTATTTTTTTGGTCGAAATTTAAAAAAAAATTTTTTTGGTGAATTTTTGAGATTTTTTTATCAAAAAACTAATTTTTGAGAAAAAAACTGTTATTTTGTTTCAAAAATGCAACTTTTTCTTCGATCTCAACTTTGGAAAAATTCAGGAAAAAAAAATTATTTCTCAAAAATTTGTTTAAACATTTACAAATTCAATATTTACAATTTAGCTTAAAATTAGATGATAAAAACTACTTTTTACCAAAACAAAAACACACTTTTTTGCCAAAAAATCGAAGCTGGCGCCAACTGGCCGGGCCTTCCGGGCCGGACCGGGCTCGGCTTTGACAAATTTTTCCACGGCCCGGCCCGGCCCGTCGCAACTATGTCAATAGTTGATACAAAAAGCTAAATTATCAACAAAGACAACGAAATAAAAGAAGAAGCTATTTACTACTTATTATTGCAAGTTTATTATTATTGCGAATTTCGAAAGTTTTCAGCCACCTTACTAAAAATTCAGATAATTGAAAACAAATAATTTTGCTCAGAATTTCAAATTTCGAACCCCTTTTCGGACCCCAAATTCACCTGGTTAGTGGTTACAATCGACGATACAGATTGCGAAGTGTTGCCATGGGGCGAAAGGGCAAGAATGTGGGCTGGGGACACCTGAAAATTCAGTTGGACCGAAACATAGATTTTGAAAAATTCCTCACTTGAGAGCTTTCACTGATCGGCAATTGCACGATGTGAACTCGCTCAGTGGTCGTCACGCTTCTCGACTGAAACGGAGAAGTCGATCTGAAAAGTTCAGGACATTCAGGATGAAAATTTCTTGAAACAAGCATTTCTAAATGTATCGTAGTTTTAAAAGATTAATGAGTTACCTGGGCGGTGAGTGTCGTGTCTCTTCACGACGTGTCACTGTCCATCGGGGACGTTCCAGCTCTCTACCTGAAAATGAACTGGATCAATTAAAGCGAAATCTGTGGTAGAAAGGCGCTCATTTTATAAATTTTACCCTATTCATAGGAGGTCGACTGAAAGATGTCACTTGCTGTGAAAGGTATCGAGAAGTGGTCAACTGACTGTTTATCATAATATCAAAACTATTTTATTAGTTGATTACTTTTCGATATCTTTTACAAGAACCGAGATAAATGGGTTCAAAGTTGAGGGTATGGGTGGTGGTATACTTGCAATATGTTAATAGTTTTCTCTCCCAAACCTAATTTCAACTCCTATTCTAAAACTCTCCCAGAATCTGCCCATACTTATCATTCAAAAATTCTTTCTTGTTTTCCGGTTTTCGAACATTAGAAGTCTCTATATCATTTGTCATTAGATGATGATTGATTGCATTGTCACTTTATGGTATCAAAATAACAAAAGATTGGTGCGAAGAAGAATAAAAGGAAAGGAAAGAGATTACATACCTGTTCGGTTGGGAGGATTTTGGCGCGTCGGGTTATCACTCATATAACCTGAAATGAAGTATTTTACTATTTCTCTTCTTTGAAAGCTGCAACGGAACAGAGTGGGAACATGTATAAAAAACAAGAGTATGAAAAAAAAACAAGAGTATGAACAGAAAAAAAAAACACGGTAAGATGACAAACAGTTCGGACAGGGATTCACAATCGGGAGACTATTGGTGAGAGAAAATGAGAAAAAAAGAAAATGAAAGCTGTGTCAATATAATATCAATTTATGTTGCGGTCAGAGAGCGAGGGAATGAATATTGTTATGGAATCCAATGCAGCGAAAAATGTAACACAGAGATATGACAAATATAGAATGAAAACACTACATTTTGGTTTATTATGAAAGCAGGAACTCTCAAAAAAAAAAGAGATTTTTAAAGCCAAATTATCAGTTTAAGCAGAGTTCTAGTAGAATCTAGCTAACTACTTTTTAGGCGGTTCATAAGTGGGGTAGCGTGAAGTGACCTAATATGTTTCCCATTCTTTGATCCCTTTTTCCAAATTTTTAACAAGTTAAATAAAATTTCTGAAAATTTTCTCAATGAAAAAATAATAGAAGACAAGAAAAATTTGTTTTGGAATCTTGTGTTGAAGTTTTGTGGAAACTTGAAATAAATATAAGTATGAAAAAATTGTGACTCATCTGTTTTAGAGCTATGGATTTTTTCTTTTTAAAAAGTTAATGGAAAGCAAATATGGCGAAGAGATACTTTGAAAACTACAGTAACCTGCATAAAATTTTGAGATACAGTAGAGGCAGTATTCGAAGAAAAGGTTAACAAATACAAAAATGGAGTTCAGAAACTTATGAAAATGACCATCAGATAGGATACAGCATAATAAATAATTACACAAAAAGTTGAGCAACTTGAAAAAAGGAACAGATTTAGATCAAAATGGAAGAATGAATGAATTTAGGATCAATTGTATGAAAAGGATTTAAAAACGAAAACAATGAGAAAGTGCATGCAATTCAGAGGGCAATAAATGAACGACTGATGAGGAGTGTTCCAGATGAAAAAAAAGAGAATTTAGAGATGAAAAGAGGAGAGAGATCGAGAGCAGTGAAGAGACGCAGGCTAAATGAAATGACAGGAACATAAGGTGGAAGGGCAACAAATGGGATTTGTGGTTGGTTGGGAGAAGAGGAAAAGTTAGAAGATAATGTAGAAGAAGAAGAAGAAGAAAAAGAAGAAGAAGAGGAGCAAGATCAGTTAAATAGAACAAAAGGAGACTCAGAGAAGAGAACTGATTACAACTTTTGAGTTGCTCGGCGCTGTGTGAAATGAAAGAAGATATTTAAGAGGGCGGTCAATTGAACAAGAAAAAAGATAACTCGAAAAAATATGACTAAGAAGAAATGAAATAGGATTTCATAAGAGAAGAAGAAGAAGAAGAAGAAGATACTGATAATGAGTGATAATTGAAACGAGGTTAATCGCATTCCGAATTGATATGAGGTAATAATTGAGAGAATGGAGATATGAATATCGGAATACTAATATATGGGAAGAGAACTTCAAAAAAGGATAGTTTTTTAAAAACAAAATGGAAGGAATTTTTAAAAATATGAGTCACCGATCAGTATATTCTATAAAAAAGAATTTAAATACACTAAAAAATTACATTTTTTGAACGAACTATCGAAAGTCAAACATGTGACAGTGTCCAAGTCACTTGTTTCAGATTACCTACAAGTTGTTCTCTCCGCGAAAGAGAAATCAAAAGAAGTAAATTTTCAGTAAGAGAGATTTAGATCTAGTTGAGTCGATCAAGTCGGAATTCTATTCAAAACTCTGAAACCAAACATTTAGGGAACCCTCATGAAACGTCGAGGTAGTGAGTCTCTAAGAACATTGCAATATTCTTGTTCTTCACTGACAGATTCACTGGAATTTCATGAAAACAGAATACAAAAATAGTCTTCCTCCTGATTCATCATTATTTTGAAACAAAACATTTCGGTAGTAGGTAGTAGAGGAAAACAGAAAATACGAAGTGGTGACCGAATCGAAACGGCCTTCCTTCTCTTTCATTTTTTCGTTTACACCACTCCCCTTTTCTCTGCCAACCAAGAAACATTTTCGCAATTAGTCATTTGAAAAAATCTACTATTTTAAAACCTTCATAAAAATCTGAAAATGCTCGGAGAAACATTTTAAAAGATTAGGAAGAAAAAGGTGCAGATAGGGAGAAGAAAAAGAAGAGGAAATCGAATTACAATGAGAAAAAGAAGAAGAAATGAGAGAGAAGGGGCGAAAGTTCTATCACTTTCTGTTTTATTTTGTCTTGTTTGTCACTTCGAGAGGACACAACAAAAAAAAACGGAAGAGATTTTTTGAAAAGATGAGACAGCTATCAGCTACCACAAAGGTTATCAGGAGTAGAAAAATAAGTGATGGGTGACAAATTCAGAGAGAAAACAATGATGGACTTTCAATGAATATTAGAATAAAAAGAAAGAAAATTAGGTAAATATTTTTTACAATAGAGATTACAGTATGTTAGTTGAATAATCAGTAGTTTAATATGCAAAAAAAGAAGATGATCTGAAAAAAATCAAATTTGAATCGAAACGTAAGCGTATATAATGAAACAAATTCCATGTGAAATGAATCGGAAAGTTTGCGAGAAATTCAGAATTTACCGGCGTGGAGGATGAGGGAGTATGTAACGAAGAAGAAACACAGACAACAGAGAAAAAGAACCGTTCGTGGATGAACAGTGGAACTGGTAGACATTGTGGAAGAATTCAACACAAAAAGTAAATACCTGTGTCCTTTTGAAAAAGGTCGGGTGGAAAGTTGTGTGGGAGAACCCAGGAAAATTGGAGTATGCTGGATTGGGTGCAAACTGATATCCGGGAAAAGAACAGGAGTGGGAAGTGTGTAAGAATTTTTGGAGGAAGCAATAAAAGCAAAAAAGAAGAGTGTTGAGAAATAGAACACATCAACAATCATCACAGAATGTGATGGAAATGGAGAAGACATTATTTCAGAATAGAAGAAATGGGGATGGATTCTAAAAAAGTAACAAAGGCAAAGGCTTGTTCAGAATATCTAAGAAAACCTATTTTTTTCCAACTTCTGAAAATCAGAAAAGAACAAAATTATCTAGAAACAACTTTTCAAAATTAGAAAAAAAAGTTCTAGATTTTTATGGATTTCGAAATAAAACAATTTTCTAGATAACTGAGGACAAAATGGATGGATTGAGAGAAATAAAGAGAAATACAGAAAAATAAGAGAGAAATAGACATCATAAGTTTTTTTGTGTTTGCAACCGAACCGGGTCATTTCGGCTCGTTTTCTCCCCATCTTGTTGCTGCCCCGCAATTTTATTTATTTGCACCACGATTTTTCTTCGTTTTCCAACCTAATGCACTTTTCTGTTACCCTCCCGTTTCTTCACTTCTTCTTCTTCTTTTCCTTCTGATTCTCAATGTGGATATGTATGTGTATATGAAACACATTTTTAGAATGTAGAAAGCAGCAAAGAGCACATTTCGGGTTTCATATCCGGTAGGAGTTCATTTGAAGAAAATAAATTGAAGTGAGAAAAAAAACGAAGGATACGATGGGAAAGGAAATTGGAAGAGTTGATTAGTTGCATCCATTCTGAAACGAATACTTTGTTTTTTGTCATTTTTGGGTGGAAATGAGAGAAACTCAAAAAAGAAGAGGAGAATGAGAGGAAATGGAAAATTGAGAAGATATGCTCCCCCGTTTGGAGTTGAAATAGATTGGAATTTCACTTCAAGATGAGACGAAAAAAAAAAAGAAAAAAAGAGAGGAATGTTGATGAATTGTATTGGTCCAAGAGAACGCCGAGGAAGTAGGAGACGATTCTCAAAATTATGCCGTGTCCAAGTTCCGAAATCTGGGATTTCCGGGCTCAGAAAGCAGTCCAAAGTGACACCCAAATCCCCAAGATTTCCAATACGTACAGTCAAAACCAGTACGACCTCTAGTGCCTCAAGACTCGGCAAAAATTTTGCGCGGCTTTTCGAAAAAACATTCTTTTACGAAAAAAAGAGCTAGGGTTGTACGGTTTCACTGGTTTCAACTTTGCCAATCGCAAATCTTTCTTTAGGCACAGGTGATTCGCGAACAATCCGTTACGGACGCTCAGCGTTCGCGCTCGGTTGAAATAGGAACCGTATACGGACCGCACGCGACCCGTTTTCAGAAAACCACAGCACGTTATTTCGTATTTCTCCATATTCTATCCGTTTGTGAACTCCGTATCCGATCCGATTGCGAATGATAAACAAACGGATAGACTATGGAGAAATACGAAATAACGTGCTCGTGGTTTTCTGGAATTCCACCACAGTGGCGATGATATCAGATCTGCCGCTCTACT